TGTGTGTGTGTGCACGCGCCTGTCCCTCCCTCCCTTCTACCCTCAGCGTTTTCGGCCATCCTCAGTAGAAGATGGGGAGAAATCCTATATTTATTCCATCTTCCCCAGATCAAAATTCCTGCTAGTTTTCTTTGGATTCTGGTTTCATGGTGTCTTTTTTTCTCCTTTTGTAAAAAACTTATTTATATAAATTCTTTTTTAAAAGTATGTCTAGCATATACTGAATTTCTGCTTGTCATCCAATCTGACAACCTTAGTTTTTAAGTAGCATGTATTTAGATCATTTACTTTTAAAGTAATGATTAATATGTTGAATCAAAGCACACCCAAATTACTTGTTTTCTGTTTGTTCCTAATTTCTCTTTTTTATTGGGGACATCTTACAATCACGTTTAACCACTATTGACTTATTATTTTTACCTCTTTAAAAACTCATTGGAAGTTATAATAGATTGGCAATATACATCTTTAGTCCCTGTCTCCCTAAAAACGATATGTTACTTTTATGGTTTCAGAGATTTGAAATCCCATACCACTCATTCTTTTTGCCATCATTTGTGCTATTGTCATTTGTTTTTGACTTTTTTTACACACTGTGAAAGCCCACAGTAAATTGGTACCCTATTGCTTTAGAGATTCAACTAGATTTTAAAGCTATTCAAAACAGGAAAAGAAAGTCTTATACTTCCCTCTTTTAACCACTTTCTGGACTCTTCATTGGTTTGTAGCCCTTGGTTAGTCACTGTGTTTCTTCTGTATAAAGCGCTTCCTTTAGTTTTTCTTGTAGTCGAGTTGTGCAGGGGATACATTCTGCCTTTATTCGACTGACAGTCTCTATTCTCATTTTGAAAGATATTTTTCTGGATTCGAACTCAAGGTTAATTCACTGTTCTTGCAGCACTAGAACTATGCCATTCATTTATCTTCTGTTTTGTCTGGTTTTGACTGGGAAAGCTGCTGTATTCTTTATTCCTCTGTAAATAATTTGCCCTTTTTTTCTGGCCTCCTTTAAACATTTCTTTGGTTTTTAATAGTTTGAATATGATGTACCCAGAGATGCATTTTATTTGTTAGTGCCATTTTGTACTCCACTTTTGGTTTTCTAAGGAGCCAAATTGGTGACACATTGGGCTAACCTTTTAGGCTGCTAATGACAAAGTCGATTGTTCAAACCCACCAGCTGCTCCTTGGGAAGATGATAAGGCTGTTTACTCTCATTTATAGTCTTTGAAACTGTTAGGCTGGGTTGACTAGAAAAACAAATTCATTGACACTCAAATATGTACAGCAGAGAGCTTTCTATCAGAGTAACTGTATATTAAGACTACATCCCAGCCCAGTCCAGATCAAGGCCACAAGTCTGCTATAAGCCCTTAAGTCTAATACTAGTCCACAAATTACTCTGCAGACTCATGTAGGAACGTGCAATTATGTGGAAGCAGGAAGATCACAGGCTGAATCTTGTGGATCCAGTGGCGGTGGAAACATCTCCAGGGCTATGGCTGCCATCAGCGTGGCTCCATGTGGCTCGTCAACAGGACGTGAAGCAGAGAGAGAGTGGATGGCCCTCCTCCAGGGAGAAAGAGAGGAAGTTCTCAGACTCCTCATGAGGAGGCCACGCCCACCAGGAGCCGTCATCAAGCGGTGACCTGATTGACAGGCTAGACTCCACCCCTGTACTCTTATTTATCACGTTGACATGAAATTATGTAACCACCACAGAAACTATGACAATAATTTCTTGTAGAAGAATTAATACTAGAGTAGACCCAAGGAGTTAGCAATTAAAGATGTCTCAAATGTCAAACTGTCCAAGATGTCATACTGCTCCATGTAGTCCTTCTCTCTCTCTCTCTTGCTCTCGCTCTCTCTTTGCCATTGAGTTGATACTCACTGACAGCAACCCTACAGGACAGGGTAGAACTGACACTGCGTTTCCAAAACTGTGACTGTTGTTGGGAGTAGAAAGCCTCCTCCTCCTTCTGCAGAGTGGCTGATGGTTTCAAACTGCTGACCTTGTGGTTAGCCGCTCAGTGTGTAACCATTATGCCACCAGGGCTCCCTCACATCTCTGCTGATGACAATTTTCTGCAATGTCTCACAGTACTAATGACACTTCAGTGAAATGGCTTACATGGTGGTGGGTGCTATTAAATCCCAAATCTGAAGTTCAGACTCTGGTTGAACTTCAGGATGCCGAAGAAGCTGATGAAATCCGGGCAGGTGATATACTGGAACTCACATCCTAGTGACCAGAGGTCAGGCAGAGGAAGACCAAATGCAGGCTCCAGAACTAGAAGCCAGTATGTCCAAAAGTCAGAGCAGGTCTTCTTGTTTCTACTAATGTTCAGTCGGGAAGCATAGGTTCTAAAAGGGGAAGGCTTTGATGGAATGGGCTTTTTATCTTTCAGCAGGTCATACCCCAGTGGGAACAAGCCATGACTTGAGTTATACCATCTAGTAAGGTGGAGACTCAATACATCACACCTTAATCCTATAACAGAACTACCTCCAAAATGGGATGATAACCATAGGCATAGAGAATAGACTTGATACTACATAACAAAAGTTATTATTAAGTGATTGACAACACCTCAAAAACCCTGTGGAGCAGTTCTGTTTCTGTCCTACAGGGCTGCTGTGAGTTGGAATCAACTTGATGGCAGTGGGTTTAGTTTTTTGGATTTTCTGCTTCTTGAGTCTGGTTTGATGCCTTTCATTATTTTTGTATAATTCTTTAGCAAATATTTCAAGTATTTTACTTCAATTTTCCCTGCTCTTTGCTCTCTGTCTTCTGGGATCCAGTTGTACATATGGTCTACCTCTTGAATTTCTCACGGTCTTGTAAAAGATTTCCAGGCCCACCTTCAGATATGCTGATGAGTAGATCTGAGTTGTGGTCCCTGAATTTACACCTTTAACAATCTCCTAGGAGCCATTTACAAGCTTTCCAGGTGACTTGAACATATGACTGTGGTGGTGATGTTGTGGAGAATAAGCTGTGGGGGAGGCAAAGGAGGCAGCAGGGACACCACTTAGGAAGCTGTCAGGAGCACCTGTGTTCGAGGTGATGGTGTTTGGAGCAGGGAAGTGAAGGGGGCTGGTGTGAGGACGGGATTTGGGATCTGGGAGGGTTAAGGTAGAGATGGCTGTGAGTCTGGAGAAGAGAGGGGTGGGTAGTGTAGTCATGGAGCTATGCATCTTGTTTTCATCGCTGCCAGTGTCAGTATACTTATGCAAGTTCAAGGTTCAGAATGATCATGTATTTAGTAGTAACTTTTCATATAAAGGTTTGTGACTAGAAAATTAATAGTGATTTATTCTCTTTCTAATCATGAATGGTATGTATTTGTCTAATTTTAACAGATACTGAAGTGAATCAGTGAAAATGTCGGTTCTGATATCACAGAGTGTGATAAACTATGTAGAAGAAGAAAACATTCCTGCTCTGAAAGCTCTTCTTGAAAAATGCAAGGATGTAGATGAGCGAAATGAGGTAAGACCAAGTTTCTAAAGGGAAATCTCTATTACAATAATTGCTGACAACCTACTATGTGCCAACGATGTAGTGAGAGATATGTAGTTCTAGTCCCCAGTGACATTGGGCATTACTAACATACTACACACAATAATAATCTCTTTGCTTGGAAATACTTTGTCTTCCATGTTTTTAAAATACACTTAAAAATGCTAGGATAATTGAATTTGTGTTTATGATTGATGTAACTTTACTCATGGAATAAACTTGATTCAGGAAGTCTGAATTTTAACATTTAAAATGCCTCAAGGGTACTTAGGCTTATCAGACTCAGTTTTCCTTTGAGGAGGTTGACCATATGCAATTAGGATTTGGGGAGACCGTTTTCTGTAATGGAGCTCCAACGCTCTACTGTAGTAGTTCACTTCATTCACTTCACGATTTTACAGCCCTGCGTCTAAACGGACCGTGGCTTGTGTCAGTGTTGCATACCATTGTGTGCACGCTTCATAGGGTGTGTCAGCCTCCTCATGGTTTCCCGGGACACAGCTTCCCTTCGCCTCCGTGTCCTCTCATCTTTGGTTTGGGGTCAGTGTGGGCTGTTTGGTCTTAGACAGTTGATTGTTAAGGGAGCGCACCACTCAAGGGTGCTATCTACCCATCTATTATTTGCTGAATAGCTTCAGTTCCAACTACAAGCATCTCCTAGGACATTGCTCTGAGAAGTTCCTCTAGTCTCCAAGTCCATATGGTCTGCCGCCCCACTCCCCCTTCTTTAAAGGGGTTTGAGATTGCTCTGTGTTTTTCTTCTTTTTGGTTATGTCCTTGGTCAGATGGTTGGCTGGGTGGCCAGCCAGGCAGCATTTGAAGTTCTGTTCTCAGGTCGAAGAGGCGGTGCTGCAGACGGGCTGCTCATCCTGTGGGATAAGTTCTCCTGTGAGCCTTTGATTTCCTGTCATCTCTTCTGTTCCACGTGAAAAGACACTGATCATTGCATCTTGGGTGGATGGCCTTGCACCAGCTTTGAAGACTCCGGATGCGAATTCCTTTATTTTTATTTATTGAATCATTTTATTGGGGGCTCTTACAGCTCTTATAACAATCCATCCATCCATCCATTGTGTCAAGCACATTTCTACATTTGTTGCCATCATTTTCAAAACGTTTTCTTTCTACTTGAGCCCTTGGTATCAGCACCTCACTTTTTCTCCCCTCCCTCATGAACTCTTAGTAATTAAAAAAAAAATCATTTTATTGAGGGCTCATACAATTCTTATCACAATCCATACGTGCATCCATTGTGTCAGGCACCCCTGTACATTTGTTGCCATCATCATTCTGAAAACATTTGCTTTCCACTTGAGCCCCTAATATCAGCTCCTCATTTTTCCCCCTTCCCCCCCACCCCCCATGTCTCATGAACCCTCCATAATTCATAAATTATTATTATTTTGTCATATCTTACACTGTCTGACGTCTCCCTTTACCCACTTTTCTGTTTTCCATCCCCCAGGGAGGAGGTTATATGTAGATCCTTGTAATCGGTTCCCCCTTTCTACCCCACTTTCCCTCCACCCTCGAGGTATCGCCACTCTCACCACTGGTCTTGAAGGGGACATCTGTCCTGAATTCCCTGTGTTTCCAGTTCCTATCTGTACCAGTGTACATCCTGTGGTCTAGCCAGACTTGTAGGGTAGAATTTGGGATCATGATAGTCGGGGGAGGGAGCATTTAAGAACTAGAGGAAAGTTGTATGTTTCATCGTTGCTACCCTGCACCCTGACTGGCTCATGTCCTCCCCTCAACCCTTCAGTAAGGGGGTGTCCAGTTGCCTACAGATGGGCTTTGGGTCTCCACGCTGCACTCACCCTCATTTACAATGATATGATTTTTTGTTCTTTGATGCCTGATACCTGATGCCTTCGACACCTTGTGGTCACACAGGTGGTGTGCTGCTTCCTTGTGGGCTTTGTTGCTTCTGAGCTAGATGGCCGCTTGTTCATCTTCAAGCCTTTAAGACCCTAGGTGCTATATCTTTTGATAGCCAGGCACCATCAGCTTTCTTCACCACATTTGCTTATGCACATATTTGTCTTCGGTGATCATATCAGGAAGGTGGGCACCCACTGATATGTTTTTTTTTTCTTTGATGTCTGATACCTGGTCCCTTCTACACCTCATCGTCACATAGGCTGATGTGCTTCTTCCATCTGGGCTTTGTTGCTTCTGAGCTAGATAGCCGCTGCTAACCTGCAAGCCTTTAAGACTCTAGATGCTATATCTTTTGATAGCCGGACACCATAAGCTTTCTTCACCACATTTGCTTATGCACACATTTGTCTTCAGCGATCCTGTCGAGAAGGTGTGCATTATGGAATGCCAATTTAATAGAACAAAGTGTTCTTGCATTGAGTAAGTACTTGAGTGGAGGTCCAATGTCCATCTGCTGCCTTAATACTACACCTATAAATATATGCATGTAGATCTATTTCCCTACCATCCTTTATAACTATATTTACATATGTACATGCCTGTATTTAGACCTCTATAAATACCCTTTGTCTCCTAGTTCTTTCCTCTATTTCCTTTTAGTTTCCTCTTGTCCCACTATCATG